AAAAAAAAACCAACGCTGGCAGTGGTGCCCATCGCCTTCATAACCTTCTCTGCATCGACATTCGAAAGAACCTTCCACATTTGTACAGATCGCATTTCGATCACAGGTATGTTCGCCTCGTTCACATTCATTCACATCTGTAAAATGCAGCCAACTATTTCATTCATACAAAAGTCAGCTGGAAAAACGGTGTCCTATTTATCATAATCAACTGCGAATACCAATGCTTTGGATTATTCCTACAGTTACCGTTCTTTGCATGTATGCAAATACGAGTTTAGATGAGCTGGCCACATCCCTGAATACAGCGCACGCATGTTTGCACGTGCGTCTGCTTGCTTATATTTTACGCGTTGTTAAACCCAAATTAGATAAGTTAGAAAACTAATGTTTCGGATGTGTGTCAAATGGATCCCTTGATCTCAAAAAAATTATGGTCTCTACTGGCAAACCACTTTAAGAAGTGTGGAGACTCGCAAATTTTACTCATAAATCATCTCAATTCAATCTTTAATTACGCACTTAAAAAACCTTGTACGCATGTGTCAATAGGCAGATATATTGGGCGGTAAATGTTTTTGTGATCGTTAAAATTTCAGTGAGTCAGAGAAATTTCAATGAATCAGAATCACTGATAGGTTATTTCACTTTACACCTACCAAGAATGCCAGTCCTCTGCGCCATCAACGCTCTGCCCGGCCGCAACATGGCGGTAGTACCATAGATTGCTTTTTGCTATGGTTGCTTGCTTACAAAAACATCCAGCACAACAGTAAAAAGTTGGAAGAACTTTGAATTACAAACCAACACATCGCCAACCCAGCTGCACCGATGAGTCGTGCTCCACGTGATAGCCAGTAACGCATTCGCAACGGTAGGAACGTTCCACCGGAGTGCAGTTCATATGCGGTAGCGTGCAGAGATGCCGCCCGCTCTCGCAAATATTCTAAAAAATTTTAGCCGCGATCTTATACTTCAGTTGATGGTCAAAACGCCATCCGTATTTTCTCTTGATAAGGCGGAAGCAGTCCCAACAGCCCGAGCAAGCGTCAATAGTAGTGACTACGTAACTCAATATTTTTAAGTGCTAGAGTTAATTTTGTTATGTATTAATAGCTGTGACTTGTAGCGTTTGTGCCATAATATTTTGCACCTGCTCTTTTAGCTTTTTGCTCATTACATCGCTTGAATGAAAAAAAGAACATCGGTAACTCGCTCGTTTTTATAAGTTAGTATCTGGTTGTAATATAATTTTGTTTCATTTATATTATTATTAACACTACACCTGTTTTATCATTATCATTTTTATTCTGGAGTTTTTAAGAGTAACAGTTATCAATATTATGATCATTATGCTGTTTTACTTGTAATTCTGTTCTTATTAGTCCTTGCGCTAGTTGATACCGTATTATTTCAGAGTAGTGACCTCATCGTGGTAGAGATCTGCTTATGACAATATCGAGCGCACCGTGCGAAGAAATTTACAAATTTTTCGAAATTAATTTACCTCCAGGCAACTGGTGCAGGTCGGCCTCCGGTTCTCTTCAAGTTTATCGCCGGGCTCTTGGTGATGATGCACCTGTTGATGGCCAAGTCGTTCGTGGTGTCGATCTTCCGTGCCGGGCAGTGGTAACTCAGCAGCGCTGCGTTGCTTCGTTGCTAGATTGGCGGATGCATAGCGAACAATGTGTTCTTCGGCATCATAGACAACATGTGGCCTGGCCACTTGGATAACCACTACTTGGTCCTTTGTAAACTGAAAATTTTTTTTTGCATGTGATCGGTATGCACAATAGCAACAGTTTCGCACACGCAAGCAGTAATCAGGATAAAAGCACTCGAATCGCTGCGCGGTATGCTTATATCAATCGGTCCTGCTCCCATGATCGAAATTGCATCGGACTTTTTTTTTTTAATTATCATAGTGGCTCTGGTTTTCCAGTAAAAAAAAACAATAGTAGCATGGCGCTGAATGGCCACTAAAATATCAGGAATAAGGTGAAAACGAGAAAATTTTTAAAAAACCAAAACTTGCTGAGCGTAAAAAAAATTTTCAACAGGAAGTCACTGTTAACTGGATCGATTCAGAACTGGGTTTCGTCCTCTATGCGCCGTGGGGCGCAAAAGTACCTGGTTTAGACAAATAAATGTGAGGATTTATGGTGGGCATTTACATCACCGCTCTAGCCAGGATGTAAATCTTCACCGATTATTGCGACTTATACGCTTACCTTAGTCGAATTAATGAACATTCTTAGTCCTTATCGATTATATGAATTATTACGCTTACTTCTCTGAATGAGCATTCCTTGTAGTGAATTTGTTGGTCAGTCGATAGCTTCATTTGTGTTTCCTCACCATTTTCGTTCACCGTTACCATTTGCGAAGAATATGAACGTACGAATCCTGTAACACTCTTGTGTGCGAATTTTATAACTACTAAAATGTGCTACTTATTTACCTAGTTACTTGCTTGCTTACTTATATGCCTGTCTAAAAGCAGAATATTACTGCAAAAAAGAGAAGGAAAGAGAAACTAGTGACAAGAAGAGAAAAGCTAATTCTTAAATAGTCACTGAATACTAATTACCGTAGGAATTACAATAATTATTGCCTCCGGTGAGTTATTCATGCTCGTTGAAAATCTATTTAAAATAATGTACATGCAGATCATGCGTCACTATTTAGGGTTCATTCTCTGCCCCCCCCCCCCCCCCC